GCTCTGGTCCTACTACGCCTACGTCGTCGAGCTCTGCCTGGGTAAGGCGGCGGCGAGGGGGGGGGGAGGGGGCTGCAAGGGCCGACTCCCGAGTAGACCCTTCCTGCCAGGGCGGCGGCGGCGGCGGCAGCTTTCCGGGGCCACGGTTCCCGCCGGGCGCCTGTCTTCCTTGCGCGAGGCCCGTGGGGATCCGACTCAGCCTCTCGCCTGGCGGGGGCACCCCCCCCCCGGAGGCTAAGGTCACGACAGCCCTGCGAGGGAGGCCAGGCTCAGAGAGACGGGGGAGGAGGGGGCGGAGAGCGGCCCACGGTCATCTCCAGGGGCGGAGTGAGTGCCCTCAGCACTGACCCGTCTTGGCGCCCCCCCCCCCGCCTTTCCACACTGACCCCAAGTCCATTTTAGTGGCTGACCTGTCTGACCAGATAGACAATGCCGGTTGCAGCCATACAAACATTTATTCATAGGATAGCACAACAGACTGTACAAACGAAGCTTTTCACCCTTTCCCCCAACTTTGTGGTGCCCCCTTTGGCCCCGGTGCCCTAAGCACCTGCTTAGTCTGCTTCGTGGTTCATCTGCCCCGGTCACCTCCAGTGAAACCCCTGCCTGCCCAAGTGGGGTCCTGAGCCCTTCGGCCTATCAGGTCGGCAGCAGCCCACCTGCGCCCACTCTCGGCTGCCTTGTTCCGTTTTTTTAAAATAAAAAAATAAATCCTGTCCTCCCCCCCCCCAGGGTTTCACCCTCACCCTGGAAGGGAGATGGCACTGGCAGGGAGGGAGAGGCCCAAGGCCACCCAGCCAATTCCGTGGCCGAGTGGGGCTCCGAGCCAGGGACCTCCCAGCTGGGCACCCTTAACCACAACACCACGGCTGCCTTTTTACCCCTGGGACAGGCACATTTGGCCGAGGGAAGTGGGGGCAGCCGAGAGGATTTGGGAGGGCAGGATTTCCAGCGTCACAGAAGTCTTCCTTCCTCTTCCCTTCTGTCATAAGTAACGCCAAGCTGGGTGAAGCTCAAAAGTCAGCTGGCTGCTTGGTGGTTTCCCCTGGGCCTCGGCAAAGGCTTCCACATCTCATCCCTGTCTGGGATTTCCCCACCTTCCGGATCTTGTCCTGACTGCGTTGCATGGCTGGGAGGGAGAAAATTGTGGGTGGGGCGGATGCAATGAGGCCTAACATGAGCCAAGAGAATGAGGCAATGATAACGAAGGATCTGCTAAAGACCAAAGTTTTACTTGTTGAGCTCTTGTTTTCCAGTTAAGGCATGCATGCTTTCTCACGTTAGGACTGATCCCAGTTTGGTTGCTTAGAAAGTGCTGGGAAAATTAAATCACAGTTTTAGATTGATTTAAAAGATTGCAAATGGGTGGCTGTGGTCTCTGTTTGTGGGCTTCATTTGAAATTGCTTTGTAATAATTCGATAGATGAACTGGAACAAAATAGTAATGATCATGTTAGATTCAGAGAGAACTGGTGTGATTTGCATTTGGATGTGGGGGGGGCAGCTTTGGAGGGAATTGGATGGAAGCTGGTCTGGTGGTCTGGCTTCCAAGGCCCTCCTGCCTTCTTCAGTGAGTGAATAAAGGGAAGCTCCCTTGGAAGAACAGAACTAGTCAGAGTGAACTCTACAAGTGGATCTACAAGATCTGCAGAGTGGATCTACAAGATCCAAAATATAAAGGAGTCCATGTGAATGACTAATAACCCATAATGACTAAATCTAATGATATAATAATGTATTAATATAATGATATATAAATGACCTATAAACACAACATAACACATAAATCAATACTCCATAAATAGAACATAACAAGAGGGGACCCGCAACAAAATGTTGCATAATGTGTTGTGGCCCTACCATAGTCTTCCTTGCAGGCACATTTTCACCTGGCGGGGGACTTGTGGGGAGGGGGCATTCCCCTACCTTTCCCCCCTCCCCCCTTTATTGTCAAAGTACCCTCCTCTTTCTTTCTGCACACACCCCTTAACTACTAATCTTCCCTCACATCCCCTTCTCCTCTCACCCCTTCTGTATCAGCTCTACCCCCTACCCCATTCTCTAGCAATCCTTTCTTACCTCCTTTCCCCTCTCACCCCTCTTATGTCTCCCCCCCTCTTACCCCAGCCCTACTCAATGTCCTTTTCCCTCCACCCCCTCTCAGTCTGCCCCTCTCTTTCTCTCCACTATTTCTCTACTCCCCAATCTCCCCTTCCTCTTTCTTTTTCTCTCCCCCTCCCTCCGACAATCTCCCATTCTTTTCTTTCTCTCCTCCCAACAGACAGTTCCCTATTCTTTCTCTGTCTCTCTCCCCCCTCTCACAGAACCCCACTTCTTTCTGTTTCTCTCCTTTTGCAGCTGCAGGACAGCAAACATCCCCAATCTGGCTGCAGGAGGGAGGGGGGCAGCAGGCTTCGCCTCCTCACGCCTCAACTGATGCCCAGCCACAGGGCCAGTTTGGGCAGCAGCAGCAGAGGGGAGGCAGGCTGGCTCCCAGAGAGGCCCTGCCGCCCCTTTGGCTCCTTTGGCCGACCTGCTGCCCTCCCCCTGGGGTTGCCGCCAGCTGCCTTAACTCATCAGTTCAGTGCACAAACCTGCTGGCTGAAGCTATAGGCTGAATCTGCATTTGTCTTTCCCACCGGTGTCCCAGCCTTTTGACTCCATCTTCAAAAAAGCTGTCTACATTTGGTGTTGTTTTCACACCTCAAGAGTGCTAGCATACTTTTGCACATCCACATATGTTTATCGTCCTTTCAGGGCGGCTCCACTGTCATTGCACCTCCACACTGCTTTAAAAGAATCTTCTCCGAACAACATTCAAACAAGCATAGAGAAAGACGGCATCACATATTTGACCTATGATAGTCTTTGTAGCTGGCGGTCCTGGCGGGGGCTGTTCCAGCAGCGAGGCGCACAGCTATTTCCCTTGCGGCTCCAGTGGCTTTCCCTTGTGGCTCCAGTGGCTTTTCCCATACCTTAGTAAGTCCATTCTCTGTGCTTGCGCAGAGTAAGCAGTTTTACCTTTGGGTATCCCCGCATGCTTTTTAAAACATTTTAGATTTTCCTGCATACATGGGGACTGCCCCAAGTTTGCTGGAAGATCTGTTTACCCTCCATGTGACCCAGATCCACGGAAATAAGTATCCACACGCAGAGGGGACCTTGGCTATTAGATATATAGATAAATATCCCATACAAAGTATCTAAATCATATAGAAAGTTTCTGCCAAATTATTTATATTTTATGGAAAGCAAAATGCCTGGACTATAGTCTCTAGATTTGCTGTAAATAATACATGTGTGTTGGATTCCAAATGATGCATGCAACCCTTTTAAGTAGTCCTTTCCCAGGTTCACAGCTTGCAATATAATGTAATTGTGCTAAACCTGTTGGATTCCAAATAAGGGCTGCGGCTCCTTTGAGCAGTTCTTCCCAACTTTCAGAACTTGCAATTTAATGTTATTGTTGTTAAGTCGCACAGTGGAGCCCGACTCTTCACGACCCCGTGGGCCACATCACACCAGGCCCTCCTGTCTTCTGCCATCCTCCGGAGTTCGCTTAATTTCATGTTTGTTGCATTGGTAACACTGCCTAACCATCTCATCCTTTGCCGTCCCCTTCTTCTTTGACCTTCAACTTTAACCAGCACCAGGGTCTTCTCCAGTGAGTGCTCCCTTCTCATTTGGTGGCCAAAGTATTTGAGCTTCAGTTCCAGGGAACAGTCCGGGTTGATTTCTTTTAGGACTGACTGATTTAATCTCCTTGCAGTGCAAGGGACTATCAAGAGTCTTCTCCAGCACCATAATTCAAAAGCATCAATTCTTCAGCACTCGGCCTTCCTTATGGTCCAACTCTCGCAGCCATACATCACTACTCGGAATACCATTGCTTTGACCATGCAGATTTTTGTTGGCAGGGTGATGTCTCTACTTTTTATTATGCTGTCTAGGTTTGCCATCGCTTTCCTCCCAAGGAGCAGGCGTCTTTTAATTTCATGGCTGCAGTCCCCGTCTGCAGTGATCTTGGATCCCAGGAACGTGAAGTCTGTCACTGCTTCCATGACTTCCCCTTCTATTTGCCAAAGAGTGATGGGGCCAGATGCCATGATCTTAGTTTTTTGGATGTTGAGTTTCAAGCCAACTTTTGTGCTCTCCTCTTTCACCCTGAGCAAGAGGCTCTTGAGGTCCTCTTCACTTTCTGCCTTTAGAGTGGTATCGTCTGCATATCTGAGGTTGTTGATGTTTTTCCCAGCAATCTTAATTCCGGTTTGTGACTCATCCAGGCTGGCATTTCGCATTATGTGCTCTGCATATAAATTAAATAAGCAGGGTGAGAATATACATCTTTGTCGTACTCTTTTTCCTATGCTAAACCAATCAGTTGTTCCATGTCCGGTTCTAACTGTCACTTCTTGACCCCTTATACAGGTTTTTCAGGAGACATGGGAGGTGGTCTGGTACTCCCATCTCTTTAAAGACTTGTCACAATTTGTTGCGGTCCACACAATCAAAGCAGAAGTAGACTTTTTCTGGTACTCCCTTGCTTTCTTCATAATCCAGCCAATGTTGGCACTTTGATCTCTCGTTCCTCTATCTGAAATCCGGCTTGTACTTCTGGCAGTTCTCTATCCACGTACTGCTGAAGCCTAGCTCATAGGATCTTGATCATGACCTTGCTAGTGTGTGAAATTAGTGCAATTGTATGATAGCTTGAACGTTCCTTGGCATTGCCCTTCTTTGGGATTGGAATGTAAACTGACCTTTTCCCATCCTGTGGCCACTATTGCGTTTTCCAAATCTGCTGGCATATGGAGCGCAGCACTTTAACAGCATCATCTTTAAGACTCTGAATAGCTCAGCTGGGATACCGTCATCTCCTCTAGCTTTGTTGTTAGTAAGGCCCATTTGACTTCACACTCCAGGATGGCTGTAATATATATAGTTGTATAAAGTCACCTGTTGGATTCCAGATAATGCATGTGGCTCCTTTTTAAACCGTCCTTGCTAGTTTACAAAACTAGCAATATAATAGACGGTATAA